ATTAAATAGTATTTAATATATAATATTATAAAAATTTTGGAATATATTATTAAAATAATTGAAATTATATAATATTTAAATTAATTTAATATTTAATAAAATAATTATATTAAATTTAATTATTTGAATCTACTATTAATTGAATTGGGCTGCTCTTATGAATCGGCTGGTTGAATATGCGGTTCAAACCGGTTTTAATTGGTTTGATGCTAGACCAGTTTTTCTAGAGAACCGAATCAGCTATAGGACCAGTTCATGGTTGAACTGGTCGGTCTAATCCTATTTTCAAAACCATGCTTTATACTTAAAAATCTCCCTCAAATCCCACTTTCGGTGCTCGTGGCGCGTCGGGGGACCACCCTACACACTCTCGTAGCGTGGTGGGAGGGAACCTAGTGCGACATTTGTGCTAAGGCGGGTAGGCCTTTAAGTGCTCTTGAAGCGTGATGCAGAAAATCTCAAGTACTCGTGTATGAGCTACAGTGCATATGGGGAAAAATTGCAAGTCTTTTACACATGTACTTGAAGACTCCTACACGCTCTCGTAGCGTGGTAGGATTGAAGACTACAGATACGGTGTTTCCCGACACCTATTCTACCCGCTCTCGTAGGGTGGTAGAGAATGCCCAACTCTCTAAATTTTCCCTGAACGGGGATACGGTGGGAGGCTTCCAATTTTTCTAGTTAACAAGAGGACCTAAATTGAACAAATATACAGGACTTGAATTAAATAGCAAAGAACAAAACTTGAGCAATCATAGGGAACCGAACATTGAATTAAAAAATGCATAATCATATCAAAGAAATACAAACACTAAATGAACTTACAATGAACATCAATGTGCAAATAAGAACTTGTAATAAATATCAATGAATAGGAAATATTTGTGATGAATATTAATGAACAAATGAGAAACTTGTATTGAACACTAGTCCTAGCAATAAAGGAGCTCCAATGTACACAATAAGTTTGTCACACCTTATTTTGTGTGCCCCCCCGGTCAACCTAGAGTATATAACAGATGAATAAAAAGTAATTTATTTAGACTTTCATAATATATCAAAGTTTATACTTAACAATAGAAAGCTTGTAATATATCTCAATTTATTTAGACTTTCATAATATATCAAAGTTTTACTAAAATTTTTAAAATTTATTTACATACCCCAAACGTTTTTGTACAACCTCCACTTGGACTTCTATGTGCAACTAAAATGTAAGTGCACAAAAAAGATACTTTTTTTTCTAATACCCTACAAGCTCCTTCCTCTTTTCTGCAGTACAACTACTAATGAGCTAGGGCTCAATGAAATATACAATCAATACATAAAAATAATAATAACATTGTTAATAATTATTTTGAATATATTAGAATTTCATATTAATCATAAGAAATACATAACATTACTTTGTTCAATAATTTTAAGCAAGTCATATAATGGTTATAAGTTTTTGTACCCTTTTAACTTTCCAATTTAATGTTGAGTCTGAATTCTCAACTTTTAGAATTGTAGTTGATTTCTCATTCAAGGTTTGGTCTAAATTCCCAACTTTTAGAATTTTGAGAATGTTAGCTTATCTCGTTAGGTTTTTCGTCTTTATTTGTGCGGACTTATCCTTTATATTTGACTTATTTTACTTTCCCATATTCGCTATTTTCTTTTTCTCTTGTACACAACCTCAAAGAAGTTTCTCCTCATTCAACAGTAACATTTTTTTTGTTTCAAAACTCCTCAATCACCTTCCTCTTTCCTTTTTTTTTTCTTTCATATTGTTTTCTCCAAATAACCACAACCTTTTTCTTCTAAATTCAGCATACACTACAACATCCTTATCTAATTTCAACCATTCTACATCAACTCTTATCAAATTGCAGCAACCTTACAACAGCTTTTATTTATTTCAGCCACCTAAATTAAACAATTTAGCAATTAAATTTCTTACTTATTTTCACAAATACATATTTTTTATTTCAACTATTAGGGGAAATCCGAGAGACAAAATCTTCCCCAACACACTATGTAAGCACTTCAAGTAAGTGTTGAATGACACCGCGGCCGCATTTCTTCAATCCTCGCCATACTACGTGAGCACTTAAGGGTCTTCGGGTACTTGTTTAAAAGACAGCGCAATTTTTCTTTCCCTCGCTACGCTATGCGAGCGCTTAAGGGTACTTAATTTCATCCTCATCACATTACGTGAGCGCTTCAAGGCCTAACCGCCTCGTCGAGAGCATTGCACCAGGTTCCCTCCTACCGTCGGCTTGAGAAGTGGAGTTTCGGTTGATGAAGGGCCTTTGGTGTCAATTGGCTTGCAAAGAGGGGAGGAGCTTGGATCTGGTGCTAGCCTTGTGATCGGAATGGCATATGCGGCTTGGAGGAGAGGAAGAAAAAGAGGGATTGGGATTGAGCTGTAGAGAAAAGATCGAATGTTTGCTTGTGCAAGAAGAGGCATCGGACAAGAAGAATGAGCTTCGGCTCTCGTGCGTGGGAAAGACGGCGAAGTAATCTGAAGGAAGAAGAATCACGCGAACGCCTCGTCTTCATTTTATTAACGCAAGCAGAGATGTTACAGAGGCAAATTTGCACGTGGCCTCTTCTAAAACAACGCCGAATCACAGGATATTGGCGATTGTAAGCAAGCGGCGGGGTGTAACTGTAGCAGAAGGCGAGATTTGTGCAGGACTTGCGTGGGTATGGCCGAGGTATTATAAAAAAAAATTATTTGACTTTTTTTTTTACTTATTTGATATGATGTGGAGGTCAACACAAATCAATGAAAAAATTGCCCCAAACAAACTCCTAGTTATACATCTTTCCCTGAAACTTTGTCAGATGTTTGTTGTGTTAGAAAACATATTTATTGGTTCTTTGAGAATATCAGAAGCATCATGGACTCCTCTTGTTGGCATCTACATAAGTGATAGAGAGCCTCTAAAACTACTTTCTTAGTTCGCGAGGGAGGGTCAATAAATTATGGGAGCTATACCTGAACTTCTCTTATGTATTAACCAAAAATTATTATTAAACCAACTATGTCGATTTCGACGCACGGAAGACGAAGATGAAAGGGGTTGCGTTCCTTTAAATAGCCAGAGGCGGATTTAGATAAACTGAGAGTGAAAACTATGCATAACATATGATTTATGATCATTTTTCTCAATCAATTTTAATAAGGTTATTATTAAATAAAGGTATTTTATTTCATATTTAATACCAATCATGTATATTGTATTACTGTTCAAAACTCTGTCATTTTACTTTAATTTAGAAACATAATGCACTCACCGAGTTGTGTGATAACTCATTTCTATCATTAAAGAAAAGTGCATGAATATATCCAAAGAAAATTTAAATGAGTGAAAGAGGAGAAAATGAGTATTGTAGATGTGACGCTCTGAGAAAGGTATTTATTTGAAGCAGTTATAGTTTTTTTTCCCCTTAAAAATATATTTGAAATGTTAATATCTCTTTCTGCATGTTGAAAATAGTTCAGCATTAGTAACATTACATGATAGAATATCAAATAACCGTCAGATTGTCTGTTTCTACCTAATTAATTCAAGCCTTCGAACCGGGGTCATGATAACTCCCTAAGATTTTTTCTTAGGGACTCTACCCTAATCATTTGACTCTACCCTAATCATTCTACTTGGCATTTATCAGGAGTGCATACACACATACACCTTCATGAAAAATCATGGAAGTTACCCCTCAACATCTCTTCGGAAGTTCTTCCTTTGACGCTTCTACCCTATCCATTCTGCTTGGAGTTTATGAGGACTGCTTACACACCTACACCAACATGATTCTATAAGTTAAGGCTTAGATCTTTGTTGATAAAGGCATTGATCCCTATTGACAATAGTTCTCCTCAACTTCCTCTATTGGGAAGAATATACAGCAATAGCCAAGGTTCTTCATAGGAACAACAATCCCAGTCAACGTTAGAGCACAAGGTAATGATAGGATTACAACACTCTCAACACCTATTGTTCTACTGTCCTAATGTTAAGAAACAAAAACAATATTGTAACTTTCATCACTGACTTGGACCCTAAAGCATGCAATTAGTTTTAGGAGGAAATTAAAAGGCTAATTATATAAGGTTATCGTGATTTCGGATTCGTTTAGAATAGCTTTTTTACTGCTTTCTAAAGTAACTTTTTAGTACAAAATTTTTTATTTTAAAAAGTTTATTAAAAAAAACTGTTTTAAGAAGTAATAAAAAGCCATTCCAAATCAAGCCTAAGGTTTCATTTGGGACAATTTTCTTATTGCTTTTTAAAACAGCTTTCTAATTCAAAATTTTCTAATTAAAAAAAATGGTATAAAAAGTTGTTTTATAATGCATTAAGAAAGCATTGATTGATTCTTTCTTGGTTGACTCACTCAATAATAAAATTTTAGAAGTAAACATTTTTAATGGTATCAAGAAACATATCTTATTGAAAATTCTGCTGTAATTCAATCACCCATCAACTCTTCTTTCCTCAAGCCCGCTTTCCAACGAATCCAGAATGAGCCTATTCTCTATTTGTTTATGAAAAGCTTTCTCACTTTGGCCTCCTATAAACCAACTACTCTGAGCATCCAACTCACAAGAAAATAAACTTATCCCAACTAATCAATATTGAAATTATATAATTCTGGATTCCACACTGAAACTCCTCAAATAGGCTTTCTACTAACACCTCAAGCACTAAAAAACTGACATTTTCCCCTTCATCAATGCAAATCTTAGCAACCTAACCCCCCTAAACAATCCAAAAAGCAGCCAATAATATGGATTTTTTTTTTAAATAGCCTACTTCAGACTCATTTGATTTAGGCTTCATTTGTGACGGTTTTTTTATTGCTTCTAAAAGCAGCTTTATGATATAACAAATAAAATTTTTATACTAAAAAATTATTTTAAGAAGCAATAAGAAAATCGTCTTATACGAAGCCTCAATATATGATTTGCTTTTTTTTCAGGCTGATTTGTATTTTTTTCATAGGTTAACATTTTCTGGAGTGTTGGATTAGGACTGTTGCTGAAGCGTTGAATGGTACGTTACCTCAGCCATATATATATATTTGTTGCGCAGAAGGCGCGGCTGTAATTTTTTTATATTACATTTATCTTCTTATATCTGCAATAAGTTGTTTTCAATGTAAATGTTTTTAACATATCATTCCTGTAATATTGTAATTCTTTTAATTACAAATATTTATTGATTGTTTTCAAAATGCAATTTTGATTTTTTTTTTTTTTCAACAAATTTAATTTTCTAGGCTTTTAACCAATAGTCTAACATAAACCTGAATACTTCAACCTAATGACATAGCGCAATATAAATTTTGATCGATTTTTTTTTTAGATATTGTATTGACCTCAAAATATATTTAATAATTTAATGAATACTTCTATCAATTTTCTGATGAAAATATATTAATTTAATTTTGTGCTATTTATTCACAGAAGAAATAGTAGCACTAATGAGTATCTAAATCTTGCAATTGTGCCAAATGGGTTTAAAATTATGAATATAAAATTTTATTTTTCTTCTTTTCTAAATTAAAAAAAAAAAGTATTTATTGATCATCTTAAATTTCTTGGCTTCATCATGCCTCTTATAGAGGAATAATTCTATATAATTTTACAAATTTTGGCTCATTTCCTCTATTTGAATTAAAAGACGATTTAATTTTTCTAATCATTATAATATAATGGGCCTTACTCTGATATATCACTATCGTTTTGCTCCCAATGTTGCTTATTTATAGAATTCATAAATTGATGGGCCAGCCCATTTAGCAAAAACTTGTCCTCAGAACAACTTGACATAAATAAATATAATATATAACAATGCACCAATAAAATCATCACATGATGTGGGCACAAATAGAGAACGATACAAATTATTATCATTTACCCATAAGAAGTGTTGATGAATGTGATGAAACTTAACTTGGTCAAGTTTGTTATTTATGGTCTTGTTTGAGACTGTTTTCTTATCACTTTTTAATATAATTTTTTAATATGAGAATTTTTTAAATTAAAAATTTTTTATTAAAAAAAGATGCTTCAGAAAGCAATAAGAAAGTTGTCCCAAAGGCTATATTAAAATCATCTAACTTGGAGACTATATATGTATTGAGGATTGATGGTATATTTTCTTCTTATTTCTTCCTCTTCTAGCATGTAGAATTTAAAGCATCTTGCTCACAACTTCCTAGATGTCAAAATGCTATTACTAGAGAGAATAAAAATATGGTGTGAATCACCAATATCCCTAGCATTAAGGAGATGGTATCACTACTCATGTGAGAATATGTGAGGAATTGGCAAGCACCTCATGAAGGTATGTATTTCAAAGAAGGGTCCAAAGGTGATTCCAAGTTTCGAGTACAAGCCAAGTAAAAAGTTGATGGAATTTTACTATTGCATTAGCCTAAAGTTGTTTATCAATAATTAATCTAAAAAGGTATGAAATAAATTTATTGAAAAAGTGAATCCATACATATGGAAAAACAACCCAAAACAAATGGATGGAGGTTTGCATAACAATTAAATTCAAATGTTCATTTAAGCACTTGCATTAAAAAGCCATCCATATAATATACTATGAGACAATTTTTGAGTGATCATATTCTTGGGATAGCTTGATTAGAATGTGATGAGATCAGTAAGTCTTATATTATAATCTCTAGTGAAAAATAGATCAAACAGAAGTATGCGATTAATCTTGATACTTAGATGCCCATAGTCATTAGGATTATTAACCTATCATATTATAATATGGGCAGATGGAATGAGTGTCCAATCTATATTTTCACTATCATTTTATAACTGGAGCTAATGTCATGAGTGCCCAACCAATATTTTCATTATTGGATATTATAAACCACTCTCACTCGTGTTTGACCTTCCTACTCTTTGCACATTTGTATGCTTCTCTTTGTGAATACAAAATGGGTCTTCCTATCCCTTCATCACATCCTGTGTAACCAGGGTGTACCGCCTTTTGGACCCAGGGTGTGATGGAGTGGTATCAGAGCCCTTCAGTTTTGTATTTGATATTCATTAACTCCTTAAGATAGGGTAGTGGGTTATATTATCTTAAGTTACCCTTGAAGTTCAATAATATGTTTGATATGTTATAGTACTTTATTTTTACATGTTTAATAATTTAGAATGGCGCCAAGGAGAAAGAATTCTTCCACCCCTTGTGGAATTGATTTCACGTGAACTGTTGAGGAATCCACACCTATTCCCAGACAAACTCGATCTCCTGATCATCAAGGCACTATTGCTCCAAATCGAGATCTCATTGTGCTAATCACGATGATGAAAGAAGTGACCACTCATCTTACTCAAGTAGTGCAAGGAATTAATCAAGTCACACAACAAGTACCACAAACAACTCAACCATCATCCCCATTAGTGCCCCAAGAAGTCATATGAGTACCTCATGCTGCCCGAGCTCAAGTAAATCAGTCAAAGTTGAAAAATTTTAGTGGAACAAGTAATATTAGTAAACTAATGTATTTAAACTAACTTTTATGCTATAGATCATTCCAACCAATAAAGGGGCGATAGATCAGGTGATGGATCAAATATTAAAGTCTTACCCTCCAACATTTAATGTGATAGTTGGACCAATTGAATCTGATGCATTGCTTCATGACATAGGAATGAGACTTCATGGTGTTAAATGTCCTGAAGATCGAAAGGTTGACATGGCTGCATTTCAACTGCACGAAGATGATGATGGTTGGTGGGAGAGTATTCAACATAATAGCTTTGAAGTAGATAAAGTAATTCCTTGGGCAGAATTTGAAAGATTATTTCTGGAGCAATATTTCCTATGGAGAGCCAATCAAAATTAATGAACGATTTGAGAAATCACAAACAAAGGGCAAAATCAGTCCAAGAGTATGAGACACAATTTGCTAGATTTGTCAGATTTGTATCATCTATTGAGTAGCACGAAGACCAAAAAATCTAGAATTCCTTTTCATCCAGAGAGAAGACATTTGAAGATCCTTATCTGTCGTTAATTGCACTACATTCATAAAGCTAGTTAATCAAGCAATTCACATAATGATAAAGAAAAATTCTTGTGAAGAAAAAGCTGCTGGAAAGCAAAAGGCAACAAATAACCAAATGCCAAGAGATTCATAAAAGAAGTAACATAAAACCTATCAGGGATAGAAGTCTAAAAGTAATCCTCATTATGTGAATTGCGACAAATATAATCCATGGACTTGCAACTTAGTCATCAAGAAGTGCTTCAACTACTACAACACCTAATAAAAAGCTAAAAATTGTCCTCTTAAAGTTCAAGATCAACCCAATCCTTTAGTTACTAGAAACAACTACAAGCATTCACATCATAAGGGATGGAAGAAGTCATAAGGAGGATGCTTCCATAAGTAAAATGGAAAAAAAGGGAAAATAATATTATACTTATCCTCAACAGTAATCCCAATAAGTTTTGAAATCTTAGTTCTACGAGCAGCACCCTATTTTATAGTACCAACAACAACAACCTCTGATGTCATATAAACAAGAACAACAAGTAAAGCAGTATCAGACACCTCGACCTGGCCTCCAGTGCAGGAGTAACCGAGACAAGCAATCCCTCTTCGTGTCTTCACCATGACTCAACAAGAGGCCCATGGAGCTCTTGATGCATGATGACATGTATTATTTAAATTTATAAGCAAACGACAAAGGTTTTATTTGATTATGGGGTATCACATTCATTCATATCAAACAAGTTTACATCAAATGCCTCAGTTTCTCATTTGCAATCTCATTTATCAATTAATATGCCATTTGGAGCATCTATGATTGTTGCTTAGTGTTTTCATGATTATGGCATTATAATCAATAATATGCAGATGCCTACAACAATTATTATATTTCCACTAGCTAAATCTGATGCAATATTGGGAATAGATTGGCTATCTAAGTATCATGATCTAACTGATTGTCATAAGAGAAGGGTATGATGGGTATCTTGCTTACTTGGTGGATACTAATGGGGGCTATAGAGTAAAGTTTTAAATTATATAAAAATTTAGGGCTTTATCACCCTTAAATAAAACTTAGATTTTTCTTTGGTATAAACATAATAAAACAACACTTAATATATATAATTATATGTGTCAAATCAAGTAATAAATTGATTGAGTAGAGTGTCAAATTGTTTGTTTGAAAAAAGCTTTGCTTTTTATTGGAAAGATACAAAACAAATTGGAATTAAATTTTTTTGAGAAATTTTGATTCTAAATTTCAATTTTGAAGTCAAACATATTATTATGAATTATATATCACCTCATGAGGAAAAGATATCATTCTCTAATAGGTTCAAATAACAAAATTGTAAGTTCATCTTGATTATCATAGTAAAATTCATGAAATAACTACATATGACCATGAATGGCCAAAATTACTCAATTGGGTATTGGATCCTAATAGTCTAGATGAAGTATCATTAATTTCATATTCAAATTCATGATAATAAATGAAGTATCTTCCCGAAGAAAGAAAATATTCTTTATTATCAATCGTCCAAATATGTTGATAATGATCGTCATTAATTTTCATTTCCCCAAAGATAAGTAATTGATTTTAGAAAATTGATCTTGGGTCTTTAAATCTCCTACTAGTTCAAGCCCTCGTATTTAATTACATTATAAAAAACCTAAGTTTCTTAAGTAAATTCTCTATTAAAATAATGATAAAAAATTTATTTAGAATTCTCAATGTGTGATATCAAAGAAGTGAGGCTGGAATTTTCAATCGGGATTGGATCAAATTCGAGTAGTTGTGTCTAGAAACCAATGGAGAAGTTGGAAGAATTTTGGGATTCTAAAATGATTCAAAAATGCCTTAGTCTATCCTATGTGTTGGACTTTAAATTTTCATTTGAAAAGAAGTTTTAATTTGAGTTGTCGATTTATTAGAATGTTGGGATTACATTCTTGAAGTTGGGGTTTTATGATTTTGAGTTCATCTTGGTTCCTGTCTAATTTGGGCACCAAATAATTGTGGCTTGAACCTAGCTAATGTAGTACAAACCTGAACTTATCCCGACCTAGATTGAGGAGCCAACTAACCATCTAAGTACTTTAAAATTATGTGTCTGGTTTTTTATGAAAGATTGTTACAATTTAAATTTTGAGAAATTGGGGCTGGCGTCTATGGCAAGTTCTAATTGGCCCCTTGACTTATGTAAGGTGA